CCTTAGTCTTGAGCTATTTATAAAGATGCTGTAACTCTTGAAGGTGAGTTGAGGCAGAACAGTTAGAAAGATGGAATTCTGGACACAAAGTAGCAGGGATGTGTTTTGTGGTGCTAGGATTCCCATCCTACTAACTTTAAGAGCACTAACAAAACCACCACTGGGGAAATGGTTCTCATTGTCTCTGTTTGAATGTTGTGGTCTTACTTTCTGGGAAACTAGTGTGCTGGTTATTAGTCCTTCACATTTTGGGATAAAGTAAATATTTACAAAAGAATTCATGTCCTTAATGTTTAAAATATAGGCTTATTTGATATGTTAAAACTATACAGGAAACATTGCCAAATATGAAATGGTGTTTAATTTTCTTTGGGTTAATGTTCATATGTATGTGTTATTACCATTCCAAAACATTTGTCATCCATAGGCAGTTATTATTCTTATCAAAAAGTGTTTTAAAAACAACTCCAAAGTTTGTTTCTTCAAGGAAAGTCATGGAAAGGACTGACAAGTTCTCCTGATCCATATATTACTTTTACAAGTTGAATTAAATTACCGTAGCAATGTGTATTATGATGTTTGCTGAAAAGATGGTGTTAATCAAATAAACAGATGCTAGCATCACCATGTGACAGGCTGGGCAGTCAAAGAAAATGGTGGAAGCATAGTTGTCCTTTGAAGAAAGCATGACTATGCTGGAGTGGTATTTGAAACCTGAGAACACTGTGGAAATACAACAACAATGGAATTGTGAATGTGCAACAGAACCTCCAAGATGCCTCGCAGTTGCACTCATTTGTGATAAGTTGAGACGCAAGGTGCTGTGGGTGATGACAGCTTACCTAAATGAGAATTTGTCAGGACAATAGCTAGACAAAGAATTTTGCAGGAAAGAATTTGTGTGATAAATTTTGTCTTACATTTGGTCTTTTTGAAATATTAAGACCACGGAAAGGCATAGAAAAACAAATTAAACTCATTTAACTTATTAAAAATTGAAATGGTAATTTTATGTAAGCTATGGTTATATATGTGTTCCAGTAGTGTAAAAATATTGATCTGTTCTAATATAGGCTAATGTTTAAAATATTATTAGTTCTTTCTGTGTTCCAGAAGTCAAGAAAATAATTCTCCATCTTGTGAGCTATTCAAGCAATGTATGTACTTATAAGCAGAATTTGAAACATGTATTTTTCCCCTCTCCTTAATTCCTATGGAATTTGAAAGTCATTAGTAAGTATTATTAACTGAATTGGCTCTACTGTAAGATCCCAGCCTTATCTGTACTGTCAACTGATATCTGTACTGACAACTGATAACTGTTAAATGGGACTGAAAGACTAGCCAAAAAGTGTGGGTCAAAGACTGGAGTGTGTCTCCCCTGAGGGCAAGGTGCAAAAGCCCTTACAACCATATCCTGACCACACCTACAGCCGTGAGAGTAGCAGAAATTCCTGCCTAGATCTATTACAGCAGAGTGAAGCCTACCCTGGAACCGGAGGAGAACCTGCCCTCACCTAAGAGGAGCCAAACTGAGCAGTACGTAAACGATGGCAGCTGATCCTGATTCCCCGCAGCGCGAACTCTGCACCTCAACAACTCCTGGACCTTGAGCAGCAACCTCGGATCCTGAAACCCCTCCTGCTCCTCCTAACCTTCGGCCCTTGTATACTTTTCCGATTACTTGCCTTCATTCGAGAGACACTTAATATAACTCAAGCCCTCATACTCACTCAACAATATCAAGCCCTACAACAGCAGGATCATCTTTAATTTGGGGTCTTAAGATTAAGACCAGGTACTTGATAAGAGGAGGCAATGAAGAGACCCCCTGAATATGACCCTTCCCCTGCTTCCCCATCCCACCAACGGACTTCCACCAACGGCCTTCCCCCAACAGTATTGCCAACGGCATTCAGCCCCCTCCCCCTTTGGCAGTTTATTCTGGGATATAAAAGCAGCCTGTAACAGCTCTTCGGGGTTCCTCTCTGTTCATCTCCGAGCTGAGGGACCCTGCGCCAGGAATAAACACCTCTTGCGTTTGCATCGACCTGAGTTTGGTGACTGTTCCTTGGGGGTAGCTATATCCTAACCGGACCGCTTTGGGTCCAACAAGAGAAGTGCTAGCAGAGAGAGTAAGGGGTTCAGGGTTTTCATGAGGATAAAGGAAAAAACAAAAAAAACTGATTGCTGCCAGCTGGTAGCAAAAGGCAGTCGTGAAGCAGCTGTGTCTGGTTCCCCCCACCCCACTTCTTCTCTGTGAGTTTGGTTTATCCGGCTCCTCCTTGTAATCCTGGACTGGAGAGTTGCTCTCAGCGCTCTTCAAGGCTGGAAAACAAACTTCCCAAATCAAACAACTAGTGGCTAATTAAACAAAGGACTGCTGTGCTGTGATCTTTCCTGTCACAGGGGTAATTATGTGCTGTGAGCTTTCTCCTTTTTCTGATAGTTCACACAATTTATCAGCAAGGCCATCCTATCAACTAGTGTTTACCTTACAAACATTTAAGTAAAATTGAAAAATGTTATGGTGGTTATTTTGAAAATGTTCTGGTGGTCATTAAGTAAAAAAAAAAAAAAAAAAAGCTGTATCATTCCACTTACTCCAGCTGCCAGCCTTCAGTGAGGGTGGGGAGAAAGAGACACACAAACCGAGTGTTCACATAACCCCTGGGTGTCGGAAACACCTCCAACAACAGGGCTGTTAAGATTATCTGCACGCGTATGTGAGGGCCGCCCAGGGTTTGCTGGTTCAGCGAACGGCGCCGTCGGCCGGAAACTTTCCGCCTAGAACTCCCCTTCTCGGCCAGCGGAGCTCCACAGGCTTCCGCACTTCTCTAGGCTCCAGACCACCTGCAGGAACGCGCGCAATTCCGCACGCTCGTTGAGAGCGCGCGTCTCCCGCGCGCTGCCGCCGGCAGGAAGGGGCGGGGCGCGGAGAGGCGGCGGGAAAGCGCGCCCGGAAGGGGCCGGCTCCGCGCGCTCGGGTCGCGCAGTCCCTGCCCCGCGCAGTCCTCGCCCCCCGCGGTCCCGGCGTCCGGCCGCCCCCCCGTGCCTGCAGCGTCCGGTTCCCGCCATGCCCGCCGCCGGCTCCGAGCTCCCGCGCCCACCGTCGCCGCCCCCAGCGCAGGAGCGGGGCGCCGAGTCGCAGCCGCCCCACGGGGAGCTGCAGTACCTGGGGCAGATCGAGCACATCCTCCGCTGCGGCTTCAGGAAGGACGACCGCACGGGCACCGGCACCCTGTCGGTGTTTGGCATGCAGGCGCGCTACAGCCTGAGAGGTGACCGAGCGCCGCGGGGCCCGGGGGCGGCGGGGGGGCGCGCCTCGGCGGGGAGAGCGCTCGGGAGTGCAGTGCGCTGCGCTGAGGTTTAGCCCTAACCTCAGGCCTCTGAGGAGGGGAAGCATCCTCACCCCACCTTACGGACGCCGAAACTGTGAGACTCGGGTTACGCTCCTGGTTTGCATAGGGTCACACTGGTAGGAGCGACGGCGGGAGGTGAGCCAGGTCCTCGTGCCTCCACAGCCTGGGCTCCTGAGTACCCAGTTACGCGTCTCTAGTAGAGCGGACATAATCTGGTAAAATTTGTCCGTCCTAGAGAGTAGGAGAGAGTTGCCTGGGCTTGTCTAGAATTACGCGCTTTTTCTCCTCCCCTGCCCTCCCATGTTCACGGTTCTGCTTTGCAGAGTTTTCAAAAGTTGGAGCGAAAATGCAGTGGGAGGAGCAGCGGCGGCGGAAGGAGGCTGGGGCAGGAACTGGTGTTTCCTGATGGCTTCCCATTCCCTCCCATCTGGGAGGAACCTGCTTTCCCCCTAGACCTTGAAAAGAGGAGCTCGAGAGTCTGACTAGAAGTTTCGATGTGTTTTTAAACAAGATCTCTGTAGCTCAAGCTGGAATGCAGCGGGTTCATCATAGCTGGCAATAACCTCCAACTGTGCTCAAGTGATCCTCCTGCCTCAGCCTCTCACGCCGTGGGGACTGCAAGTTTGCCTTCCCACTTGCCGTTATATGTTTTTAACTTTTTGTAAGGAGGGAGGGGCTCCTTATGTTGCCCAGGCTGGTGTCCCCACCCCTGGCCTCCAGAGATCCTCCCTCCTGGGGTTCCCAGAATGCTAGGGATTATAGGCGGAGTTTCGCCTGGCCTCAAGTAGAAGTTGAGATTCTGATTTCTCCTTTTCCTCTTTGCCTTTAAAACAGGATGGCCCCAGGGAAGAAGAGAGTCTTCTGCAAGTTGTCAGCCCTCAGGCTTTCTGGGGATAAAGGGCTGAGGTGGGGCTGGCTCCAATTTAAGTTGGACTATCTTGTCATCCCAGATCGAGCCCTGCTGTAAGGGAGGGCACTTCTCTTACAGCTGTGGCCAGGGGCTGACATTGATCTCTGTCCTTAAATGGAGAGCATCCTAACACTGTGGTGAAGAGTGCTTCTGAGTGGGGAAACCCGCCACCCCATCCCTTTTCTGGAAACTGAAAAACACACCAGCTGCTGTGGCTGCTCGGCCTTGGACAGCTTGGGGAGTTTTGTCTGAGCAGAGGGGTCCACTTTTCTCAGCTCTGAGCCCAGAGGCCTCTATTGAGTAGCAGATGTAATTTTAACACATCCCCTCTGCTTCAGTATTGGCAAGTTGCTCTACACAACTTCCCTATATGTTAAAAATGGAAATAACACTCAGTGGGCAATACTGATAAAAGCAGGTGCTTGAAAAATCTTTGTCATGTGAATATTGACTCAGCAAGTAATAATGTGGACTGAATAGGTACTGCATTTTTACTTTTATTTCTCCATTGCTTGATGCGTTTCATCCCTTAAACTTCTGTATTGCACAAAAGTGTCTTTAAAATGGAGATCATGATGGTCCCTCAAGGAGGATGGTTAGGAACATGAAACAGAAGTGTTTAAACAGTTGCTGTTTTGGCATTACTCCCACCCCCCCAAAAAACAGGTTAATTTGCTTTGCAAATATTTAAAAACTATTTCATTTTAGCCAGTGTGGTGTCTGCTATTCCCTAATCCCGAGCAAGTTTTCTCTGGCAGGATCATCATGGAATTAGGGGAGCCTTCGGACTTTGTCCTGGGGCATATTTTGGGTGCTGTCGCCACACCTTTGTGACAGTATTCACACCAACTGGGTAGTGGATGGTAGCTCCTTACCTTTTCCATGGGGATGTCTCTGCCCTGCCCACCAGCTTGCTGTGTTGGCTTACTGTGTCTAGTAATCACCCTGGCTAGGGAGGCCAGTCTCAGCCCAGATTGGGTCACTGACTTGCTTTGTAGCTTGGGAGCTCCACCCTGATTCCATGTGTTCTTGTCACTCCAGGGCCTAATGTCTCAAGGCAATTTGCTTCCCCAGAGAAAGTTGGATGGCCTATTCTGTCTGCCCATCTTCAAACTGCACGGCACACTGTTTTTCAGATGAATTTCCACTGCTGACAACCAAACGTGTGTTCTGGAAGGGTGTTTTGGAGGAGTTGCTGTGGTTTATCAAGGTAAATCAGTTGCTGCTATGGGGAGGCAACAGTTTGTCCTCAAATAGCAGCCAGTGGGACCCTTTTAGAAGTCAGATCCCATAGCCCTCCTCAGCCTCCAACCCATAGTGGCTTCCATTTTGCTCAGTAGGAACCAAGGCCCATGTGGGGCCCCTTTTCCAGCTCTGGCCTTAGCTGTTGCTCTCAGCCTCACCCCTCCTGATCAATCTTTGAGTGCCCTGGGATGTTTCTCCCTCCCTGGAACCTTCTGTCCCAACATGTAGCATAACTCCCACACTTCCTGTGCTTTTCTGCTGGGCAAGCCTTCCAAGACCTGATCTAAGACTTTGGTTCTCCCCTAGCCCTTCCTTGTTTTTTCTTCCTAGAGAAATCCTCTAGAAGGAGGGCAAGAGACATTAAATTGGTGAACTGTGCTGTAATCTCCATGAGTGCAGAGGATTTCTTTTTCTTGTTCACTGTTGTAGCCCTAGAACAACCTATCACATACGAGGATTCAGTGTGTGTTGATAACTGGAGATAGATACCTACTGTGTTCTCGTGTCCGTATAGTCTATAAAGAGTTTCTTCAGTAACAAGATATGCCACTTCCAAAGGGCTAAGCAGGTACCTCGGGCAAGGCAAGGGCCAGGATGACGGCTGTCACCATCAGTCATGCCCAAACTGCATGTCCTAGTTCAGAACCAACGTTCTGTCTATTGCTGGTCAGAGGGTGCGTAAGGAGACAGATTCAGTTCTGGACCATGCTGGAAGTTGGGATCCCTTCTGCAGAGTACCTCCTGTGTTTTGCATAGTCATGGGTCAAATCAGACCCAAGACTTCCCTCTCCCTTTTAGGAAGGGATTAGATTTGGATCCAGTACAGCCTGCCTTAATTCTGCATTCATGGGTGTTTTGTTTTGTGTTGGCCTGTCAACTAATAGTGAGCCTCTGTTTGAATGAATCATCAGAAGTCTCAGAAGAGGATGTTCTTAAACTGGCTAGAGCCTGGTTTGAATGGATAGAAAGGGGAGACTTTTGAAGCAATATGTGTAAAGTTGAGAAGTCATTTGTTGGAAGCAAAGAAAATGAAGACAAACTCAGCAATAGAAAGCAAGGAAGGAAGATGGCCAGAAATGCATTCACCTCTTTTAACATAAAGCTTAAATGCAGGATTCTACGCAGTCTTTACCAGGAGTGTCAGATTCACCTCTGACAGATGGAGTTATGCCACTGGTGACTTGATCCAGTTCAGGAGTTAGCAGGTACCACTGTCTGGGCAAACAGAAGGAGGGTTGTGTAGGAGCTAGGGTCTGATGAGCGGCCAGCAGTCTGCTTGTGTTACTAATCCTCACAGCAATCATGTGGTAAATACTAATGTTCTTTCTTATAGATGAACATAGTGAGGCCGGTGGGGGTGTGAGGTAGGGAGTGGGTCAGAGGAGAATGAAGGTAGAAGAGCCAGGCACCTAGCTCAGGTGTATGTGACACCAAAACTTTGCTCCTAACCAGTACAGCACATCATATCCATAGGCACCAAAGACAGATGGTGTCTGTTATTGACCTGGATTCATGACCAGAATGCAGGACGGGATGTTATGAGCCAAATCTGAGGGGATGAAATGTAAGAGAAGTAAACATAATGCTTTGTGCCTGGGAAAAAAACAAAACCAATGAGAACAACTTACCTATATAGATTGAGGGTAAATATAACTTCATAGTGACAAAGCTAGGAAGTGAGTTAGGGTCCAAATTGAGTTCAGTGTGACTACTACATTTGCCAGACAAGCAGATACTGATTAGTCTGATCATTAGAAATACCTTAATAAGCCAGGTATAAGATATGAACAGATTGCACATGAGGCATCACATTCATTTTGATGTATCACACTTACACCCAGCATTTATTTAAAAAACACAGAACTGTGAGGTGAGGTGGGCATACACAAAGGACTTGGAGGTGTTTCATCTATAAAGTTGAGGGGAATAGGCTGCGCGTGGTGGCTCATACCTATAATCCTAGTACTTTGGGAGGTGAGGTGGGTGGATCACTTGGGCTCAGCAATTAGAGACCAGCCTGAGCAACAGCAAGACCCTGTCACAACAGCAAGACGTGTTGTGGTGGGCACTTGAAATCCCAGCTACTTGGGAGGCTGAGACAAGAGGGTCACTAGAGCCCAGGAGTCTGAAGTTGCTATGATACCGTGGGACTCTATCCCAAGGCGACAGAATGAGACTCTGTCTCAAATAAAAATAAAGTTGAGGGGAATAAAAGAAAAGCGTTGAAAGGATCGTTCCAAGTAAGGGATCAGACTGTCCAATAAGCCCTTAAAAAGTTGGGTCCTGGGCAGCACCTGTGGCCCAGTGGGTGGGGCACTGGCCCTGGTAAAACTGCAACAAAAAAATAGTTGGGCATTGTGGTGGGCGCTACTCAGGAGGCTGAAGCAGGAGAATTGCCTAAGCCCAGGAGTTGGAGGTTGCTGTGAACTTTGACACCACAGCATTCTACCGAGGGCAATAAAGTGAAACTATCTCTTAAAAAAAAAAGTTAGGGCCGGGACCAGCCTGCTTGGACTGAGCGTATAGCATGGGCTGCACTTGGCACATCAACATAGCTGGAGGGTCAACCCAGATGACTCAGAATTCAATGTTCTGTTTAAACCCATCTCTTTTAGGGATCGACAAACGCTAAAGAACTATCTTCCAAGGGAGTGAAAATCTGGGATGCCAATGGGTCCCGAGACTTTTTGGATAGCCTGGGATTCTCCAAAAGAGAAGAAGGTGACTTGGGCCCAGTTTATGGCTTCCAGTGGAGGCATTTTGGAGCCGAATACAAAGATATGGATTCAGGTAAGGAGACAGCAATCTCCCATTTCCTGAGTGTCTTTCCTAGCATGAGTCTGCTCCATTGTTTCAGATGAAGTACGAGGGATAAGTCAGTGTCTTGGGTGCTGAAGTTTAACTTGGACATTGTAAGAGGCTGTGGCAGGTAAAGGTAGAGGAAGCACGTCTAGCCCTAACTTCTAGGGGCAGGGTGTGTCACATCTTGGTGATTAGCATTCGTTGGGCCCTTGGCACTTGCTTTCCTTACCTGTGTTGGCAGAGAGCTGCATGGTTGGGAAGAGGAAGAAAGCTCATCCCTGATTCCCTTTCAGCAGCTTCTGAGCCGCCAGCACTCTGTAGGTGGGGGGGCTGGCATGATAGCACAGTGCCCTGCTCACCCTCCGCTTCTGCTGTGGTGGAAGAAGAATGAAACGTCTCACTCTGGGCTCCCACCTTCCTCTGTTACTGTCAGTGGCACCATGTGCTGAATGTCACAGAGCCCAGTCTGTCCTACCTGCCCTTAGGAGAAGCAAATGCCCACCTCGGGGTGAGTGTGCGTGTATAGGAAATAACAGTTTGCCGGCTGGGCAGGAACCAGCAACCTGGAGAGGATGCATCTCATCCAAGGGGATAGTTGCATCTCACCTCCAGCCAGCTGGAGGGATTTGGGCCCTGTGTTAGAATTTTTCAATAAAAGGCTAAAGTCTTCATTTTATGTGCAATCATAGATCTTTTCTAAATGATGGCAACTGTAGGAAGTTTTAGTGGGTACAGAGTTTTCATAAGGGATAATGAGAAGTTCTGGAGATGACGGGTGGTGATGTTTGCACGACACTGGGGATGTAGTTAGTGCCACTGAATTGCACACTTAAAAATGGTTAAAATGGTAAATTTCATGGTACATATACTTTATCACAATGATAAAAAGTGTGTGTGGGCCAAACTATTTCTGTAGGTAAATGTTCTGTAGGGGTTAGTCTGCCCCTGTGTCGTAGGGCATCCTTGGGATCTGAGGCCGCTCCTCTGGCTTAATGGTGCCTTTCAACTATTTCTTACTGCTTACATGGAATAATAAATATATGGCCTTAGTTTACAGTTGTATGAACAACTGTTAGATTTCAGTGGAGGAGTTTCTCTTTGGGGTTTTTAAATATTTATTTTAAGATAATTATAGATTCACAGGAAATTTTAAAAAGAAAAGGTGAAGAGAAGTCCCCTGTACCCTTAACCCAGTTTCTTCCAGTGGTAATACCTTGGGGGGACATCTTGGGTAAATTGACATTAGTGTAATGCACAGTTATAGGATTTTGTTAGTTTTACATGCTGTTGTATGTGTGTGTGATTTTAGCCCATGTGTAGATTCATATAACTAACACCATAATTAAGATACAGAACTATTTCATCACAGTTCATCTTTTTAAAAATCTTTGATATTGCCTTTTGTAGAACTATGATTATAAGAGGATTTTTTTTGTTTTTTTTTTGAGAACTATTGAACTAGAACATGGTCCCAATCAGTAGAAGTTTAACTAGTGGAGATTGTGCGCTGAAGCTCTGCACAAATCAATTCTCAGCTACCAGTTCTATCTCAGAAGGAAGGAAGAAATTAAAGTCCAGAGGCCAGAAGTGGGAGAAAAGGACAAGACTATGTAATCATTGTAGAAGTTTCCTGGTGTTTATGTCAGTGGTGTGTTGGAATTGTAATGTAGTTTTAGGTGAGAGTGTTGCCAGCATACTGCTTAGGGCGTGGAAAGGAACTCCCATTCCACCGTTAGTCAGAATGTGTGTGGAATGCTACGTTCCACATAAGATCTAGTGTGCTCCATGCAACAAGGACAAAACAGATTGCACATTGAAATTGTGACAAGAATGGTTGATGGGCTCAGAGACTAGAAAAATTAAAATTGTTGAAATTGAAACAGGTTAGCATTGGGGGGAGGAAGGAGGTGGCATCATGACAGGCACGTATTTCATGACTCTCATGCAGAAAAGGAAATAGGCTCATATGGCTCCAGAGGATGGACCCACGGCTCAGATGGGCTGTGAACTCAACCCAGTGAGAGGTGGGAAATTTGCAGAATGCACTGGATGTCTTAGGACCCCAGGTGGAGGGAGGACGCTGGGTGAAAGGCTGTAACAGCCGACCTCTAAGGCCATCTCATGAGGTGCTGTGGCTAATATGTGCACCTTTCTTCTCTTTTTTGACAATTCTACAGATTATTCAGGTCAAGGAGTTGACCAACTGCAGAAAGTGATTGATACCATCAAAACCAACCCTGATGACAGAAGAATCATCATGTGTGCTTGGAACCCAAAAGGTTAGATGGACCCAGCCGTCTTCTTTATTCTAACCATGCTGTCGGCACGCAGGGAAGCCATATGCTGTTGTGCAGAGGCCCTGGGGGGCGGGGGGAATGGCCAGTGCCCCCAGCCACATGGTGAGTTATGTGACCTTGGGCAAGTCACAGTTTGCTTCACCTTTACCTTTAGATCATGGGGTTGGGCCCAGATTATTTTAATTAGTATATTCTCTTTCTTATTCTCAAAAGTACTTTAAATTGCCTGTACAACTACACACAGATAAGGATTTTAACATTTTAAATTGGAGCAGATGAAATTTTAGGTTACTAACACCTAGCTGTATGGTGAACATTTTTAACAATTATGTTAAACAGTACTCCCAGTGTGTACTAAGTACCCAGAGTGTAATGTTTGTGTCTTTAACAGAGACTGTTAATACAGGAGTGGGTACCCAAAGTGCCAATTTCCTGTGGCCCCTGTGAGTGAAATGATGCCTGCTGTATTTGTAGTGGGTGCACAGAGGTGGCACAAATCCTTCATTTTGGCTCAGTTGGAAGAGCATTGGTTCAGTGGTGATTGTACATTTGCAGAAATCTCACACTGATGGACAGTGTCCCTCAGCTCTGTGCCATCACTGTGATGGTGGCGAGGAGGGTCTGCGGAGGTGTGCCGCCCAGTGGCTCGCTCTCATTGTCTCAAGTTTGGCTTCTGGTTACTTTGCCTTTAGCTGTGTTCTTTCAAACCATCTCCTCTTTTCTTCCCTGATTCCTCAGATCTTCCTCTGATGGCACTACCTCCGTGCCATGCCCTCTGCCAGTTCTACGTGGTGAACGGTGAGCTGTCCTGCCAGCTGTACCAGCGGTCAGGAGACATGGGTCTGGGTGTGCCGTTCAACATCGCCAGCTACTCCCTGCTCACGTACATGATCGCGCACATCACTGGTCTGAAGGTAGGGTGCCAGAGAGGGAAGGCTGGTGCCAGCCTGATGCATTGAGCTCTTCCATGAGTTAAAGAGGACTCAGGCTCTGATTAGTATTAAAATTTGATGTATGTAAATGAGATGTGAACCAGCTTACTTTGTAACCTTTCATGGAAGTTTCCTGTCCTAGCAGCTTTTGTACACTAGCAGGTCTATATAGGTTGTTTGTAATACAACTTATAAACCAACTTACCGCAAAAGCTACACTGGTTAAATTATTTTTTTGTAAAGCCTTAGAGTGCCTGCATACCCTACGTAATGTGTTTTAAAGAAACTGAAACTAAAACATTGTTTTGCTTTCTCCCATGGCATTTTCAGCCAGGTGACTTTGTACATACTTTGGGAGATGCACATATTTACCTGAATCACGTGGAGCCACTGAAGATTCAGGTAAGAATCACTTTGGAGTTTGGTAACTTCTCTTGATAAAAGGTTGTGGAATATAACCTGTGCTGCAGGCATTTGCTTGATGCTATTTCCAAGATAAAGAGAACGTACTCCGACTGCAGGGCTTCAGTTTAGGGAAGAGGTGGGCAGGGACGAGGCAGACCCTTGCCCCAGCCTCCCCAGGCACCTCTCATGCCTAGTGCTGTAAGGTACTGAGCACCACAGAGAGGAGGGGCCACATCTGAGCTGGGGGACTTGGGGCCGTCCCACAAGTGGCAAGTTTGTTTGTTTGTTTTTTAGACAGTCTCAGTAGGTCACCCTCAGTGGAGTGCCATGGCATCACAGCTTGTAGCAACCTCAAACTCATGGGCTTAAGTGATTCTCTTACCTCAGCCTCCCAAGTAGCTGGGCCTACAGGCGACTGCCACAATGCCTGGCTATTTTTTGTTGCAGTTGTTTTTGTTTAGCAGGACCAGGCTGGTTCGAACTTGCCGCCTCTAGTGTATGCGTTAGCCTCAGCCTAACCACTGAGCTACGGGCACCAAGCCCAGAAGTGGCATATTAATATAGTATTTCGTTCTGGACTTTCAGAATTCTATCTGGTTGAGTCCCTAAGTTATAGTAGCCACCACTCCTTTTGAGTGCTGTGAGTTAACTATAGAAAAGGCCTATGTGCCCATCCTTAATACATTTACCAAGGGGGACTATGAAGTGTATACTTAGACCTGATAAGCCACCAGGCTGCTGATGCTTTGTGATGTCATAAAAATGTTTCACGCTTGAGAACCAGATGGTTATGGTGTTAGGTAACCCAGAATTACACCCCGTAAGACAATACTTGATCAAATGTGGTGTACTTGTTTCATGAAGACACACGAGGTTCAGAATTAAAGCAGTTTGTACAAGTAAGGAAAAATAATGGTCTTATTTTGTTTTTAGCTTCAGAGAGAACCAAGACCTTTCCCGAAGCTCAAAATCCTTCGAAAAGTTGAGACAATTGATGATTTCAAAGCTGAAGACTTTAAGATTGAAGGTTACAATCCGCATCCAACCATTAAAATGGAAATGGCTGTTTAGAGTGCTTTTGAAGGAGTTAGGAGAACATTGTCAGTCTCAGGGTTGGGCCAGATGCCCAGGTGAAAGTTTTGTTCTAAAGAAAAAAGGAACTTGGTCAAAAATCTGTCAGTGACCCATCAGTTACTCTTAAGGATATTAAGTTGTGAGGATGTTGCCATTGGCAAATATGAATGTGATGTTTCTTAGTAATAACAGGCCTTAGATTTGGCTTATTCACTGAGGGTGTATGAAAATGCTGAGATTATAAACAAAGTGAGAAGAATGACTACTTAATGTGTTTTTAACAAAAACATGTCCATGCATTTCAATCCCTTGTCTTTATGAAGGTCAGTGAATTCCATAAGCTATTCCTTCAAATTTGAGTGAGCCGAGGACACTATCAGTCATGTATAGCGTAGTTACAGGTGCTTAGATTTGTTTGATATATTGTTACAATAAAGAAGTGTTCTGCATTTGTCCATGTTCAAAGAGGCTTAAGTTTGTTTTATATATTGTTCTAATAAAGAAATGTTCTGCATTTGTCCACGTTTTGTCATTCTGTATTGCCGTTTATCTGCTTAGTTCCTGCCTAAAATAGACTTAACCCTTCTAAGTAATATATGGTTTATTCTGGTTTGGATCTATTTTAGAAATGCTGACTACTCTGTACTTCGCCCTATTTTTCTATGACTCAGTCTAGCTTCATTTTACCACTAAAATATAATGACCATACAGGTTATTAAAAAGTCCATGAAATAACGTTTTCCCCTTATTAAATGAGTATCAGTGTGGTGCGAATTCTCTCATGCGCTTACACTGAGCAAGAAAAGGGTGGTAACCCACTTCAGGGTTAATCTGTGAAATCTTTTACCTTTGTTGCTTACCAAATAGCCCATGGTGCTGCAGAACTATTTTTATTCTGCTAATTTTTGACAAGTGTTAAACAGAATAAGGATTTGTTCCAACGAATTATGCAACATGTTGCTTATTTTCAAATTGAAGTACAGTTTAATGTGTGTGTACCAGGATGCAATAGTAATTTTGTAGGCACATCTTCCTGGACTTCAGGCTAGTTAATCTAAATTTATTAAGGATTAAATAGGAGACTATGTATTGACTTGCTAAAAGAACCAAGTAATAATGATTACTGAGCTGATTCCTAATGTTCTTAGGACTTTCAGCTGAACTTGACTGATAGGATGAAATTTTTCTTCTATTTTTATAAAACTGTATCCAAGACATTTTACTTAAAAAGGAAAGATACTAGTACCGAACACTTAATTTTCCTGAGTAGCAAGGAGTTTCTTCCAGACTTCACCATCTGGATACTGGTGTTTCTTTACAGATTCCTCCTTCATTTCTGTTGAATAGCCAGCATCCTACCAAAGATTAAAAAAAAAAAAGCAGTGTTAATAACCACCTGAACAAAACCATGTATTTATGTATTTCTGCTGCTCTAAGAGATGCTTTTAAATCTAACCCACAGGCAACTATGTTAATATTTTTAAAGTTTTTTAAGTTTCCAGATTGTTTGAAATGGGGTTACTGACTTGCTAGATAGTGCCAGCGGTTTTCTCTTATCTATCCCCCCCCCCACCTTTTCACAAGGAGCGTGTACTTTTAGGTGTCAGCTAGTGAGGAAAGGCTAGCATTAGAGGAGCCTTGTCAGAGGCAATTTAACCTCCAAGCCCTGACTTCAGGCCTTACAATTTTGATGTTGAGTAGTCAAAGAGCCATTTATTTCTAGATATTGGAAAATAAACTTAAGGAGCCAAAGCTCTCTGCTCTGTAGTCTGGTTCCTGAGACTAGGCACAGTAGCGGCTGGCAGTGTCTCGCACAGGCCCTCAGGCCCCAGGCTCACCATTGGAGGCATGTAGGAAGCCTGCCGGATCTTCACAGGATACTTGAAATGTTCGTGCAGGTGGTCAACATACTCACACATCCTAGGAGGAAGGAATCAGATGGGGGTAATGATGCCTGAAGTTAGATCGTTCTTATGGTGCTGTTAAGGCAGAAGGGGGAGTACTGCTGTGAAAAATGGCAGACTTGGCCAAGGCTTGGCTGTGCTGTCTGGTGTGTATTTCTAGGGACAGCACCCCTATCTTGTATCGTAGGGGTTCTTCATCTGTAAAATACAGCTTTGTAGGGTGAGGGTTTAGATTAAATGAACCATGAACTCTTGCAACTGTGAAGGTTTCAGACTCCACAAACATCTGGGATTACTTGGGTGCCTTGGCCCAAAGTTAGCTATATATAGGTTAAAATCACCAAATGAGATTCCTTACAGCTATACATGAATTAGGCAAAGAGCACACATTTTAAGATGAGTTCAATCTGTTCAAATTTAAGTTTTGAGGGCTGAAGCAAGTGACTTAACTGCTGCCTGACATCAGCCACCTGTTAGTGGACAGCTGTGACTGGCCCGTGTGCCCAGCACTAGGGACACATGGAGGAGGGGCAGGAGAGGCCCTCGTGGACGCAGGCATTGACTGTGATGTGTTCTGTGTAATTTACCAAAGAACAGGTACAGGTGAAGGCCCAGCCACATGGGAGAGGACAGCTGGGCCTTGAAAGATGAACAGGTGGTTGGGTGGTGCCTGTGGCTCAAAGGAGTAGGGCGCAGGCCCCATATACTGCAGGTGGCAGGTTCAAACCTGGCCCCAGCCAAAAACTGCACAAAAAAAAAAAAAAAAAGATGGAAAAGGTAGTCTACATAGAGAATCTCAAAGCAGGGGACTGAACTCTGACAGTCTGCAGCATCAGGGTCTAGTGCTTTTTCTTGAACAGGGACACTTCCAAGCAGCCAAGCCTGCATGAGCCACCAGGTGCCAGCACCCGCTTAATGGGTGTCATGGCGTGCTGAGACTCATGGGTGACCCTCTGTCTCACCCCCCCCAAGAACCGCAGGACTTTTCAAGGTTGGTGGAGCTTCCTTTAGTCTGAAGGCAGGAACAGAAATGAGAGGGGGTAAAAGCAGGATAAGCAGGGGAGGGAGAATGAGGGAAGGTGGAGAGGGGTGGAGATGGGTGTGCTTTTGGTGCAGGACACAACTACCAGATGGATTCTACCTAACTAATGTAAATATTGTAACCTAGTGGTACCCTCGCATTAACCTGAAATAAAAATAAATATGTAGATCTTAAGCATGTAAAATAAATAAAAGGTAACATCTCCTCCCTTTTACAATGTATGTCCCCTTCTAAAAGTAAATTCTAACCCAGACCCTTTGTCCATTCCCCTGTACGTCCCTTGGGTCTTACGCAAGACCACCATACCTCATGTGTGAGGACATAGTTTCCTTGACTCCTAAATAATCATAGTAAATCCACTAATGCTATATTGTAAATGATTGTTGAAACACAATAACAAGCCTGGTGGGACCTCTGGTCCAGGCAGCATTCTTCCAGCACCACTTTATGCTGGCGAGAGTGCATGCCTCTTCAAACCACATTAGTTATTGACCCAGGGAAAGAAAAACAAAATGAAGGCAAGATAACCTAGGAGTGGTAATTTTCTCCATTGTAGAATCAGATTATTAATTGGAAAGGAAAAGAAAAATGATCTAGTCCCAACGTTTTCCAGCTGAATAATGAGATCATGTTATGAGTGGCAGCTTTAGGAAGGAGCGGGCCTGCTTTTTTTCTTTCCAATCTAAGTTTTTTTTACAATAGAAAATAGTTCAGGCACATTAAAAGGCCACACCTGTCTGCTCACTCCTTAGCTGAAGAAAAGAAACCGTTAGAATGAAAGCCCCCATGTACCCTGAGGGGCCCCATCTCTCTCCCAGCCCGGAATTTGCTGTTCCCCTTCCCACGCATGTTTGCATGCCTTCCCTGTACACTTGTAATATTCCTTCTGAACTCCATTTAATCCCAAGACAAGAAAAAGCATACTCGAAGCCATATGTCTACAGATGAATGGAAGACTGACCTCATGTAAGGCCCACTGGGGGCATGCTGAGAAATAAGGGGAAACTAAAGAAAGCTGGTGGCCAGGGCACTTCAGTGTCAGGAGGAGGGGACAGGAGTGGAGAATGTACATGCGATAAAGGAGCTGGCTGGGGGGTGGGGTCTGGCTGCAAATCGCCCTCCATGTACTTACAAGACAAAGCCAGCAGGTACCAGGAACCTACTCTTCTAGAAGGAAAAACGGGGTCTCTGTTGTTACTGCCCCATGTGTAGAAGTGGAAACAAATGACTTGACCCGGGAGTTACGGGACACGCCAGTGGATAGAGTTTATAGTGTTTCTGGTCACGAAAGCAGAATTTTAAAAGATCTGGCCCAGACTGAGGGACCCTATTGAAGGAGGAAGGGCTGGTGCCACATTACTGACCTGTTCTCAAGGCTTGCAGAGACGGAGATGTAGTCAAATATAATCAAGTGCTGGACCAGCTCACAGAGGCCAACTCCACCAGCGTGGGGGCAAACGGGAACTAAAAGGAAAGGGTTTCTATTGAATGCCAAGGGCAGGGCAGGGAGAGGAAGGGCTAAAACAGAACCTTCTGGCTCTTCTTATTGCCCACGGGTGATTAAGTAATTCGTTAATATTTCAGGACGAAATTTCAGGATGAATAATCGTCAAATATTCCCTGATCAGGGCTAAATGAGTTAGAGGCGAAAAAATCAAAATGGCAAATTCCAGACTTGTGTGAATTGCAAAGATCATCCAGGGAGCCATAGGCATCCAATGGGCAGAGAAACGCAGGTCGAGTCCGCAGCCTGGGCGGCGCCCTTACTTTCAAACTTTTTGGCCATCAGTAATACCGAGAGATTTTCATTGACACTTCCCAGTCTGCAGCTGTCAATCTGGAGGAACTGCAGGGCGTTTGCCTGTAGGAGTTGCTTAAATATCACTCTATTGTGGCACTAGAAACAGAATTAAAAATAACACAGCATAGTCAGCCTTGGCCCTCAGGCTCTCTACACCAGGCATTACTCATCAGTGGCCTTCAGGGAGCCTAGATTGCCTTCCTCCCTGTTCTCACTGGGCACAAGGCCAGCCCCAGTGGCAGTGGCAGGGATCTGTGCTCACTTTTCTGTAAATCTGCTAATGCTACAGTGCAAGTCAGGTTAAGTCCAGTTCACTAAGGAATAACTGTCACACCCATCGCAAGTGAGAGATGAAGCAGAGCATCAGGATGAAATATGGTGACAGGAATGAGCAGGTGGTACAGATGACAAAACGGAACCCCGCAGAGTGGTGCTGCTCCTTTTGTGGGGAACACTGAGAGTCTGTCCTTGACAACGCTTTGCTCCGGGCTGGCGGCAGCAGGTTTGCCAGGCTCTTGTGCTAAGTGTACAAGTGCAGAAAGTGAGCACAGTCACATTTAGTCAGCCTGAAAGCTGGCTTCCTTACACCATTTTCTGCCCTTACAATGGCAACTTTAAATTACTGTCTTGTTAGTTTTGATTAAATGCTTGAAAAGATACATGACATTGGTCCTATGAACTGGAAAAGAAGCCACAAACTTTTGACTATACCTCACTCCAGACTAATGAAGTGCTATAAAATGCCCCCCCAATTTCTAAGATGATGAAAACTTCCCACCTAACGTTTGGCTGTGCCCTGTGGTCAGCACGGTCTGAGCCCAAGGAGGCATCACTCACCTGCTCTCCTGTGGCAACACCAATTCCTAACGGGACAAGTGCCTACAAAATAGAACACAGCCTGCTATTATTTTCCTAAGTTTTAAACAGCAACTCCTAATGTTTACAAAAAAATTTCTGAGACAGTTTCACTCTGTCACCCTGGATAGAATGCCACAGTGTAATAGTTCACGCACAGTAACCTCAAACTCTTGAGCTCAAGCAATCCTCCTCTCTTAGCCTCCTGAGTAGCTGGGACTATAGGTGCCTGCCACAATACTGGGCTAGTTTTTCTATTTTTAGTAGAGACAGGGGCTTACTCTGGCTCAAGCTGGTCTTGCACTCCTGAGCTCAAGCAATCCACTTGCGTTGGCCTTCCAGAGTGCTGGGATTATGGGTGTGAGCCACCATGGCCAGCCCTGTTTAAAAATATTGACAGCTGTCTGGGTCCAGTCGCTCATGCCTGTAATCTCAACACTCCAGGAGACTGAGGCAGGTGCACTGCCTGAGCTCATAGGTTTGAGACCAGACTGAGCAAGAGTGAGACTCTCTCTAAAAATAGCCAGGTGTTTGTGGCAGGTGCCTGTAGTCCTACCTACTTGGGAGGCTGACGCAAGAGTATCGTTTGAGCCCAAGAATTTGAGGTTGCTGTGAACTATGACTCCATGGCATTCTACTGAGGGCAACAAGGTCAGACTCTATCTCAAAAAAAAAAAAGAGAGAATAATGACAGAAGGAAATGTTGCTGCTGGTGAGCCATGTTAAGTTTCAAGACTGGCATTAGGACATCAAGGGGGATGTGTGTGTATCTACAGAGGAAGCAGCGAACGCTGCTCACACGCTGCCGCCAGCCCGTTCCTGGCCACGGCTCTGCAGCATCCTGGCCGGTGCTCCATCTGACTCTGCTGCCCAGCATGAGTGGTCCTCCCTCCCAGGCCTGTGTAGTGGTGTGCGACCAGGAGAAGACTCAGCAGTGGCTCCTCACGGACTCCTGGGGGCCAATTTCTGGCCACTCCTTCCTCTGGGCCACCACTCCCTTTATTCCAGCAGTTCTCAACCTGTGGGTCACGACCCCTTTGTAACCATGAAAATACAATGCAGAGCGGCTTGGTCCGTCGTTGAGAAAGCGTCTTGTCTTTGCTTGGCGACTGTGGCTCTTCATTGGGCACCAGAAGCGGCGCGGCGCTCTGAGAAGTGGCCTAAAACTTCGGCGTTGGGTAAAAGAAAATGGCTCGAACCAAGCAGACGGCTCGGAAATCCACTGGTGGGAAAGCCCCCGGCAAACAGCTGCCCACCAAAGCTGCCAGGAAAAGCGCTCCCTCTTCCCACGGGGTGAAGAAACCTCATCGCTACAGGCCGGGCACCGTGGCGCTCAGAGAGATTTGTCCTTATCAGAAATTGACTGAGCTGCTCTTCCAGAAGTGGCCTTTCCAGAGGCTGGTGAGGGAGATCGCCCAGGATTTCAAAACCGACTTGAGGTTTCAGAGTGCGGCCATTGGTGCGCTGCAGGAGGCGAGTGAAGCGTACCTGCTGGGTCTGTTTGAAGATACTAATCTGTGTGCCATCCACGCGAAGAGGGTCACCATCATGCCCAGAGACATCCAGCTGGCTCACCGGATTCGGGGAGAGAGAGCTTAAGTGAAGGCAGTTTTTATGGTGTTTTGTAGTACATTCTGTAAAATACTTTGGTTTAATTTGTGACTTTTTTTGTAAGAAATTGTTTATAATATGTTGCATTTGTACTTAAGTCATTCCATCTTTCACTCAGGATGAATGGGAAAAGTGACTGTTCACAGACCTTGGTGATGTGAGCACTGTTGCTCAGGAGTGACAAGTTGCTAATATGCAGAAGGGATGGGTGATATTTCTTGCTTCTCAGGATGCATGTTTCTGTATGTTAATGACTTGTTGGGTAGCTATTAAGGTACTAGAATTGATAAACGTGTACAGGGTCCTTTTGCAATAAAACTGGTTATGACTTGATCCAAGTGTTTTTTAACAATTAGGGCTGTTAAGTCTGACCATACGTCACTGTGATGGAATGTGGGCTTTTTCAAGATACAAGTCTTAACCACAGTGTAACTTACAGTTTCCTTAAAAAAAAAAAAAAAAAAGTAAACCTGGCAGCTATAGAATACACTATGTGCATTTATAATAGCTATTTTATATATTGTAGTGTCAACATTTTTAAATTAAATGTTTTATATTAAAAAAAACAATGAAAATACATCCTGCATATCAGATATTTGCATTACGACTCATAACAGTAGCAAAATTACAGTTCTGAAGTAGCAATGAAAATAATTTTATGGTTTGGGGTCACCACAACATAAGGAACTGTATTAAAGGGTCGCAGCATTAGGAAGATTGAGGACCACTGCTTTATTCCCTTGTCTCCCTGATAAGCCCCTTTGAGTGGCTCTAGTCTTTGTCAATTCTAAAACCCTCTCCCTTTCAGCTCCATGGGTGACCTTAGACCAGTGTTTTTTCAACCTTTTTTATCTTATAGCACACTTGAACCTATAGTTAAGCTTCCGAGGCACACTTAAATTATATTGATTTAAAAAAACAGTAAAAGAAGAAAGACATACTTACTGTGCTTTGAACTTCTTTCAAAAATAAATTAATAATCTTTAAAAATGTTCGTAGCACACCTAAGATCCTCTCATGGCACACCACTATGCTGCAACACACCCGCTGCACATCACAGCCTTACAGGCTACTGGGCGGGTCAGGCTGAAACCGTGGTCCACCTGGAGAAGTCCTCACCTGGGGAGGTGCTGGGCTCTCACCCAACACAGCCCTTTTGCTCTCTCCTACACCTGGCCCTGAAGTTACCCGGCTCACTGCCCCTTGGACTAGCCGCCCCCACCCCACCCTGGGTTGGGACTGTGACTCCCCTCAGACATCTTTGCGTTCTTCCTGGTTTTCCTTCCCTTTGTTTAATATAATGACATCAACGACACATACAGCCCACACTTTCCGAGCTTTTACTACCTGTCAGGCTCTGTGCAAAACTCTGACTTAAACGATTCCTATTCTCAACCCAATGGGAGAGAAGCCATCATTATCCCCATTTATAAAAAACGAGAAAACAGGCGCACAGGTTAGAATTATTCCTGGACCACAAAGCTAGAAAGTGGCAGAGCGGGGTTTGAACTCCAGGCTGATGCCAGAGCCAGAGGGGGCACCGGAATCATTAATCTAAGCCAGTGATTTTCAACTGGGGTGCTGTGAGAGATCTCAGGGGTGCTGGGAAAATTTTTAAACATTATTAAGTAAATTATTTTCAAAAGACGTTCAAAGCACTGTAAGTATATTCTTTTTTTTTAACTCTTTTTTTTACAAATCAACATACTTTAAGTGTACCACATGGAAGCTTAACTATAGGTTCAAGTGTATTGTGAGATAAAAAAGACTGAAAGACACTGGTCTAAGCTGATTTCTCAACAGAAAAACCCCTTAGTTTAGGAGCCTGAACTATCTCTAATCCATAATTGTGGTACTTTCCCGCCAACAGGATGTGTGGACTTGGGCCAGTGACATGCGTGGCCCCACAGCCTCGACCTCCTCCCTGCAGAAGGGCTCAATTTGAGCAGATGGTCTCCATGCCATCTTCTCACGTTCATATTCCTATTTTATGTTTCCTGAAACTTCTAGTTTAAGTACCTTTGGTTCTTTACTTCAAAAGAGAGGGGGAGAAAAGGAAGAGAGAGGGCGGTGCCTATGGCTCAAAGGAGTAGGGCGCCAGCCCCGTATACCGGAGGTGGTGAGTTCAAACCCAGCCCCGGCCAAAAACTGCAAACAAAAAAAAAAAAAAAAGAAAAGAAAAAGAAAAGGAGGAGAGGGAGGAGAAAAGCCTCTTGATGTACTCAATCTACCAATTTTAATTTTAAAGCTTATTGGTTTCTGGCACTGACTCGATATACATTTTGTCCTTCTTTTTCAATATTTTGAACTGGCTCATTCAAGCTGCCCTCTCCCTCCATCTCCCCTAAATGATGGGAAAAGCTCCCCAGCTCCCACCTGCCTCAGTTTCTTCCTGTCCAGTCCTCATTCTCACACACTCCTGTCTCAATGCCCTCTACGCGGCTGCAGGTGAATCCTCTGAATCCCAGCTCTCACCATGCCTGCCCCTCACTGGAGAAGCTGCAGTGGCTCACTCCATTGGGTGCACCCTCTGAGTGGACGGACCCCACTGCCCGGCCCACATGCCAGCCTTTCTGACACCCCCTTGGCATGTGTCAAACATTCCCTCGGGCACATCCACTGGCCCCTGCCTGGCCCTGCCATCTCTGCAGTGGCCTCCCCATCTTAGGATGCCTCCTGGGGGGAATGGCTTCTCCCCTGTAAGCAAAACTTGGGAGGGCTAGAGCCTCGAAGAGCTTGTCAGGAGTCCCCCCAGGTGGGCAGATGTCAGGTCTACACCGGGGCCGGTTGGCACCCTGCAAGGACCCCATAGAGAAAGGGCAGGGGGGAATCAAGGTGAAGGCAGGGACTCAAGGTGAAAGTCTTGTCCACCCATCAGAAGAGTGGGGTTCTGTTTGAATAAAGAAGGCTGTGGGTGCCTGAGGTCCCTCACCTGTGGCTTAGCTGTCCTTCACATCGACTCTAGCCTCCCACCGCAGGCTGTCCCTATTCTAGCCCATACTCTCATTCCCCTCAGTGGACTTTGTCCCCCATGCATGGCACTTGGTGCCCTGGCTGGCACCCTAGTAAGACCTGTGAGTTTACATAGGTGTCCCTTGTAGAACTCAAAACTAAGACTCCTCCATCAAAGTTCAATTTTTACAATCAATACACAATGGAGGACAGTACAGTTATGCAAAGTCTCCTCAGGAAAAACAAAAGTTCCCAAGCAGGGCTTGAACATAAGCCCAGTGAACGTACGGTCACGTGGCCGTGAATGACAGGGACACGTTCTGAGAAATGTGTTGTTAGGTGGTTTCGTTGCTGTGCAGATGTCAGGGTGCACTTACACAAACCCAGACAGTGCAGTTGGCTACACACCTGGGCTACCTGGTTCAGCACAGGCCTCCAGGCTGCACACCTGAAGGAGTGTTAGGTGCCGACTGCTGGAGGAAGTGTAACACGTGGTAGGCATTTGTGCATCTAAACGTATTTAGACATAGAGAAGGCAACAAATTGCACTGTGACATTATAACAGTTATGACGTCACTAGGAGATAGGAATTTTTCAGCTCCATCAGAATCTTATGAGACCACAGTTGCATAACTGAGTCCTTCACTGACTGAAGGCTGCCATGTAGGACATGACTGCAGTGACCCAGTTAGTGTGCAGGGGAAAGGATCATGAGATGAAAATACAAAAGGCGCTTCAGGCTCGGCGCCTGCGGCTCAAGCAGCTAAGGCGCCAGCCACATACACCTGAGCTGGCGGGTTCAAAACTAGCCCAGGCCCACCAAACAGTAATGATGGCTGCAACCAAAAAATAGCCGGGCGTTGTGGCGGGCGTCTGTAGCTATTTGGGAGGCAGAAGCAGGAGACTCACTTCAGCCCAGGAGTTGGAGGTTGCTGTGAACTGTGATGCCACAGCAGTCCACCCAGGGTGATAGCTTGAGGCTCTGTCTCAAAAAACAAACAAAAGTGCTTCAGTGGCAAGTGTTGGCTGGGCCTATGCCCACATGGGAAGGATGAGGCTTTAAGACTGAACGTGTCTAGGGCCAGAAACAGACGTACTGGAGCTTATAGATGGATGTATTGGACTGTCGTCACCTGAGACCATCACATATTCAAATCCCACAACCAATCCCTGCCCCAATTTCTCACTCATCCAGCAGCCTTTGGTTTACTACAGCTGATGGACCTTGCTCTGGTGGGAGCAAAAATTTACAAGTTATGGTTCTCTTTACAAATTAACCACTGGCAATCTGGCTTTGTAGATCAGTGCTGTAAACTGGAGTAATAGAGTCTGCCCCTGATTCATGGAGTGCTTCTCAGATGTTCTGATATCAGGTTCCCTCTAAACCGGAAAGGCAGAGAGACAGCCCTGGTTACAGTGGGTCTGTCTTCAGGGCTCCTGAAAGACAGTCATCTTCTGGGGAGGCCTGACCTTCACATTAGCTAAGCAAACCTTTTCTTCGGAGGCATCTGGAGAAATCTACACTCTTTGTTTCATTCTGAGTAAATGAAGTATTTTAATGTCACTCACATCATTTCTATATTTACAAAGTATGGGCACCATGTCTATTAACCATCAAATTGCTGACAGTGATTGGCAACTTAACTTTCTCTAAAACAAGCAGAAATAAAGGCGGTATATAAACTGCAGTAGATGAAAGGGTGCCAGGTCTGTAACTTCCAAACGGTCATACATTACAATTATTTCAGCTACTTCATCAGGAAATGTAAGAGGGAACAAGTGAAGGGATTTTAGGATCTATCACGAGGAATCAGGGAAACTAAACAAACAAACAAAAACACCCACCGCAGCAGCAGCTTTCCCACCTTGGAGATGGCAGCGTGCCCCAGAATGTCATCGGGGGAGGTCGGCTCCTCAATCCACAATGGCTTGAACTCAGCCAGCTTGGACATCCACTCCACTGCCTCGGGCACGTCCCAGCGCTGGTTGGCATCCATCATCTGCAAGGAGAGACCCTTCTGGTGAGGTCTGCGGCTCCCAAAGAGGTGGTGCTGTCCTTGTGCCACCCACTGCTCAGTCAGAGTCCCTAACATCTCCTCTGCTGAGGCCCCACAGGCAGCCTAAAGCAAAGGAGCCAAACAGCAGCCATGAGATGGGACTTTGGCTTCCGATACTGTCTTTGGAGGAGATGCAAGTTATCTGCAGATCCCCTGGACGTGCGGAGGTGCCCCGGGCTGGGCCATGGGAAGTGCTCCCCATCCCTGGGGCCCTGGCCCAATCTGCATTCAGGTGTCCCCCAAACACACGTGTCTTTCAGTGTCAATTCTGTTTGTAAGAACTGTCGTTTATCACATGCTGAATCATTATGCATAGTCAACCCTAAGTTTGTTTAAGACTCGTTTACTGACGATTGCCCACGATGTGTCTGGCACAATCCGAAGTTACCCAAATTCCACCATTAATGAAGCATCTACTCCACTGGGTACCTTATGAATTTTGCCATTTGATTTTTATAATAACTCAGTGAGACAGTTTATATTGACCCATTTTACAAATGAGAAAACAGACATGCAGAGAAGTAACTTGCCCAAGAACAAGACAACAATTAGTTCAAGCTCTTGTCCTAGGCCCTGGCTCTCTGTGCACTGCTCTCCTTCTGGGAAGCCCGGAGCTGGCTCTGCTGGATTATAGATAACCCCTCTGTCCCGATCTTGTCACGCTTGGAGAGGACAGACACAGACACAGAAATCTCTATAGAATGTGAGAGGCGGTGGGAACTCCCTCACATGACATCATGAGAACCAGAGGACAGTACACTCAGAACCAATTTTTATCACAAAGTAGCCTGGGTTTAGATGAGGATAACCTCATAAAACAAAAGCAGCATTAATTCTTGTTAAATAATGGAACTTCTGATCCTAGGTCAAGGACTGCAAACTTCTTTAACTAATGAAACAAGCAGCTAAAATTTCATAAAAGTATTTTGTTGTGACTTTCTTTTATGAAAAATATTTTACACACAGTAAGAAATGCTTTGTAAAAATAGAAGCTCAGGAATGACCAGTCCTTACATGCACCTCAGCCAGGGTCTCACATATCTTCACAGGCTCCCTGACACCCACCTACCTGCACTAGGATGGGAGATGAAATGATTGACACACCAGGGCGCCAATAGGAGACCGGGCATGCCTGAGGTAGCAAGAAGGCCAGATACCTACACCTGGTCTTATGTCACTAGTTTTGGGTTTTTTGGCCAGGGTGGGTTTGAACCCACCACCTCCAGCATATGGGGCCAGCGCCCTACTCCTTTGAGCCACGGGTGCCACCCTTGGGTTTGTTTTTTTTTTTTTAATGAATTCACCCACTGCAAAATTACAGGGCTGTACTTCCTCTGACAATTAAGTTTTCAAAATCCCAATGTTCTGGGCAGTGCCTGTGGCTCAAAGGAGTAGCACCGGCCCCATATACTGGAGGTGGTGTGTTCAAACCCGGCCCCAGCCAAAAACTGCAAAAAAAAAAAAATCCCAATGTTCTTTCACCCATGCTTGAAAACAGCTGTATGTTGGGCCTGGCCAGAGGCTTCTCTTTCTCAGTGGTGTGAGAGGACAATTACCAAAGTGTTCTCTGGTCCGATCATGTCTCTGATGAGTCGGCATCTCCGCATGTCATCCTGGACATCAGCACCAACCTTTACTTTAAACCTGTGAAATACACTGGTTTTGTAATTTAGCTCTATCCTCTGCTTTGGCAGACACTGGGATTTTCTGCACAGTGGCCGTCTCTGTTAATGATTCACAGGCCGCGTGTTTCTCGTGACCTCTTGCTCTTTTTCTCCATCTGTAGACAAAATCAACCTGAGAACTTCATCTCTTTACTCAGTGTCTGGGCAGGAACCAGGGAGAGTAGTGAGATCTGTAGTACAACTGAGTTTCTGCTGTACCATGGAAGGAATTAAATAGGAAAAAAGCCACAGAAAAACAGGCCGACAAGGGCGCCATGTGAGCTGCGGCCCAAGTGGCTGCATTTTCATAGCCCTTTATACGGAGGGCTTCCTCTTAAATGAACCCAGTGAGAGGAAGGCCATAGGAATGTGTGTTCCCAAGGTGCAGGGGTCCAGGCTGGGGAGGGAAAGTGATTTGGCCATGCAGCTGAGGGGCAGGGTGCAGCTTGAGCCGCTGTGACAGACACCACCTCTGGCCACTTGCAAGGAGCTCCTTAGTCTGTTTTGCGTTCAGCTATTCTCTTGAGACGTGGGCCCCTACACACATACCCCATGACTCTGCTGTCAGAAGAAGCTGTCGCTGGACTGAGGGTGGCACTGGCCCGTGGAGGAGGAGCTGCCACCCTGAAAGGCTGGTATCTGCTCCCTCTCATCCCAGCCTCTCCCTGGCACACAGTCCGAGTGAAAGGTACCTTTGGGAGCAGTGACCCTGAGGCTCAAGCAGAGCCTGGAACACTCTAAAAGTGCTGGACCTCTCTGCCTGCGAAGAGCCCCGGCTTGAAGAGTGCCCCCCACACGCAGCACCTACTGCCGTTCTCTCTCATGCTCTGCACTAAATCCACGAACGGAGACGTTTCTGTAACAGCAGAAGCTTCCGCTATATGATCTGGGGTGCTCCAGAGAGAGCAGCTAGCCACAGGCTCTGAGGGCCAGCCTGCCTTGCTGAGAGGCCCTGGAAACCTCTCCCCAGCCTTCTCTGACTTGCCAGATACGATGCTCAGCCTCCCCTGAGTACGTAGATGGAGGGCAGGAAGCTGGCACTTTCCGAGTACCTGCTATGAATCCCACCTGTGCCAGTTTATGTCAGATAAGGCAACTTTGAGGAGAACCATGGATTAATATTATTTCTATTCATGGAGGAAAAAATGAGGTTCAGAGAGGTTTAGCAATTTCCCCATGATCAGACAACAAGTGCTTGCAGGGAGTAAGGAGAAAAAGCAAGATTTGTTTCTAGTTTCATCAGGTGCCAAAATCTCTTTCCACTACTTCAGGCTGCCTCCTTCAAGTTCTCACTCCCAAGCCCAGCGTGCTGGCTCAGGCCTGTAATCCTATCACTTTGGGAGCCTGAAGCAGGTGGATTGCCTGAGCTCAGGAGTTGGAGACCAGCCTGAGCAAGAACAAGACTCTGTCTCTACTAATAATAGAAAAAACTAGCCAGGCATTGTGGCAGGGGCCTGTAGTCCCAGCTACTCAGGAGGCAAGAGGATCTCTTGAGCTCAAGAGTATGAGGTTGCTGTGAGCTATGACACCATGGCATTCTACCCAGGGTGACAGCGTGAGACTTTGTCTCAAAGAAACAGTTCGCACTCCCAGCCGGTTACAGGGGCTCATGCCTTTAATCTAGAACTTTGGGAGGCCAAGGAGTGATCCTCAAGGATCACTTGAGGCCAGGAGTTCAAGACCAGCATCAGCAACATAGCAAGACCATGTCTCTACAAAAAAACCCAGAAAAGTCCCCCAGGCATGGTGGCACAGGCCTATAGTCCTAGCTACTCAGGCAGCTGAGAAAAGAGGATCACTTGGGCCCAGGAGTTTGAGGTTGCTGTGAGTTAGGCTAATGCCGTACACTCTAGCCTGTGAGACCCTAACTCAAAAAAAAAAAAAAAAGGTCTCACTCTTTAATCTTTATTTAGCTGAGGCATTAAAAGAATTCAGTGCTGCTCAAACTGCACTTCTGACATGCTCCTGGATAATGCTGGATCTCCTACTCCATAGACCACACAGAGCAGCAGGAGGTGACCAGGCTGATAGCCAGGAAGGCAAGAAGCCTCGTGATATATCATAGGCAAAATGTGTCACCCTGAGCTGCTCTGCTGGACTCATAATGTCTAGCATTAGAGAGAAGATGGTCCCTTTGTGTCCTGCCCTGTGTCAGATTTAAGTCACTGACAATCATAGCTCATCCAGAGGAAGATCCCAGGATGTGTGGTGGGTCTCCAACCCCACTCGAGAGACAGTCAGTCTGGAAAGGAGATGGCAGGGGCTGTCACTCCTGTGGGGGAGGAAGAGCCTGGCTCCTGGTAACTCCATGGAGAAGAGCTGGGACCAGTAAATGGTAGCCACCTGTTCCCCAGGTTAAAGACCTTTCTAACACTCAGAGCCCTCACACAATGAAAAGTGTCACAAAGCCAAGTTCACTGCCTTTGCAGATGTTCAAGGAGAAGCTGAATCAGGGCTTGTTACTGAAGGTAAACAGTGGGTTCTAGTCTAGGTTGGTCCTTTAATCTCCAAGGTCTCTTTCAACTCTGACGTGCTAGAGATCTAACAGGGACTCCTGTCTTGTCTTTAGGGAAAGAGTGAGGCTAGGTGGAACAGTCTCTCATGTGGCCATGTGCCAGAATGCTTCTGGCCTCTTCAGCCTCTTCCGTTCCTCGCCTCCTGTCCACTGAGTCTCTCATGCACCATCTGAGATAGCCAAGGCCATTTTTTTTTTTT